TCAACGCAGTTTTGCCACCTTAATGGTAGCTTGTTTATGCCAGCAGTGAAGAAGCCTGGAGAGCAAGTGGCGATGAAATCATGAAAGGTGTTTTCCACATATTGTTGAGAACTGAATATTTTTTCTTGCAAGAAGGGATCCACAGCCTGGAAGAAGTGTTAGTCAGTTGGTGCAAGGTCTGGTGAATACACTGGAGGACAGTGAGTTTCAAAGTCCCACTTCTGTAGTTTGAGCAGCGTTTGTGCAATATGTGGCTGAGCGTTATCTTGCAAGAGGATTGGCCTGTCTCTATTGACCAATCTCAGCTGCTTAATGGCAGGTGTCCTCATCATTTCATCCAGTTGGTTGCAGTAGACATGTTCTGTAATGGATTGACCAGGTTTCATGAAGCTGTAATGGATAATACCAGCGCTAAACCACCAGACACCATTAGCTTTTTATTTATGAATATTCAGTTTTGGACTGCATTTCAGCACTTTGTTTGTATCCAACCATTGTGCCAAATGCTTGTGTGATTGTCAAAAAGAATCCATTTTTCATCACACGTAACATTACAGTATAGAAATGGCTTGCCTTTATGTTGTGACAGCAAAGAAAGGCAAGCTTCAAGACTATTTCTGTGTTGACGCTCTTTTAATTCATATGGTACCCATCTATCCAGCTTCTTTACCTTGCCCATTTGTTTCAAATGGTCCATTATTGTTGGAATAGTAACATAAAACCTTGCTGCTAATTCACAGGTAGGTTGAGATGGAGTAGCTTCCACTACAGCTTTCAGCTCATCATTATCCACCTTGGTCTCAGGTCCCCATGTGGGTCCTTTTTAAAATTAAAATAACCAGAATGGAACTTCTCAAACCATCGACGTACAATGCATTCATCCACATCCTTCCCAAACACTTTGTTGATATTAATATTTTGGCTGTCTGTGCTGCATTGGTTCCGCAATGGAACTCCTCATATTTGAAAATAATGTGAAGTTTTGACTTACCCATAGTTTTACAAAAATTGCTTTAAAAAAAAAATTTGAAAGATAATCACAAGCCAAAACACATTTGAAAGTCTGAGGGTGTATCTTCACAATAAAAATAAAACAAGAAGTGTCGAAGTGAAATGTCAGAGCTATCAACTGTTAAACTTAGTACTTAAGGAAATCAGACATTTCATGCTTAATAACCTAATAGTATTTGGTACGCTGGGATTCCAACCTTGGTTGTCCAACTCCAACCTCTTTTCCCTGCAATGCCTGACACCTAATATCTGCACGGGGACATCTGAGTTACTGGTCACTGCCTAACGCATTAGCTCAACTAATCCTTGCAAATCCAGTCATGAAGACAAATATCAATATGCCCTGCACAGAGGAGAAAACCAGCTCAGACTTGTTAAATAATTTGTCTAAAGTTATATAGCTAGTGAATGACAAAGTCAGAACTAGAATTCAGACTCCTGGGCTTTTTCTAACCATGATGCTATAGCTGTGATGTAAATATAAATTCAGCTTTTAATTAAAAACTCCTAGAAGACAGAGACTATACAGTTTTATACTCTATATGAAACCATATACAGTGTGCTTATTTAATAAAACACCTACTTCCTAAAAGGAGTAAGACAGCTTGCAAAAAGGAGCTATTTGTAATTGGACTTTAAAAGCCAAACATATTAGATGGTTTAATAAATATCAAACTAGCAATATGTATTATTGTTTAATCTGAATTACTATAAGTAATTTTTAAATTTCTTCCTGTTAATTTTATTTCTTTTTTTTTTTTTTTGTACCTCTTCTGATACTGGAGACCAGAAATCTTCCTGTTAATTTTAAACGGACAAGTTATATGCAAGTGTTTGTATTATAAACACAGTCATTTAAAATTTCATGCTTATTATTTTCCCAGTATAATACATATGCTAAATTTCTAAGATTTATTTCAAAATATACATGATTTTATATATACAGTGCCTTTGCCTTCACCTCGTCAATAGCTACAGTCATCTAGAAACAAGTTTCACAGATTGGAAGATAAAATTGGCAACAAGACAGATATTTAGAAACATGACACTGTATGCTCTATTTAGACCTCCATGAGGATATTGTATAAAGCCCTGCCTTGAACCGTGTAGAACTTTCTATAAATGATTCACTTCTAAATTAGCTACCCTGGGTCAGCAGTGGCAAGCCTTAAATAAAAAGTGAATCACCCTTTGTACTCTTTCATCTCCTCCAGGACAATTGCTTTTTTTTTCAGTATTTTTTTTTTATTTCGGCGTATTATAGGAGTACAGATTTTAAGGTTTCAATAAATGCCCTTTCCTCCCCTCCCCCTACAAGTCTGAGTCTTCAGCATGACCATCCCCCAGATGGTGCACATCTCACTCATTTTTAAGGAGTAAAATAATATGACCCAAAGAATTCTATTCAAAAAATTAGAAAGACAGTCAAATTCATATTTTGAATCTACTGACTTCCTAGAATAACCAAAAGAACTTAGTTTTTTTACTAAATAACTCTGCTAAAGGCAACTACGTACACAAGACAATCAAAATCCCAAAGCAATCCTTGAAGCACAAGAAAAAGGGATAGGTTTTAGTCTTGCCTTTGTGGACATTACACAGACACTAAACCAACAAGATAAATCAAATTTGCATAACTATATATATCATCCTCTCCCACACTATTCTTACAGTCAGAGGAGCTATCTGAGCTTATCCTAGTCTAATAATTCTGCAAGGTTACATGCCAATTTGAAAGACATCATAAATCACTGCTATTCCCCCTTGTCAAGTGCAGTTGCAAATTTTCCAGCTTTCTGAATCACATGTGTTCCTAAAAGCCTCCACTTGTTTGATACTAAAGTTGGAAGAGAACCTAACGAGGCAGTGAGAGATTATAACAGGAGACATTTTACACCCTGGAACAGTAGAATGTTTATAAAACATAATAATTATACATGAAAATTATTAGTAAAGAGATTTGTGAATTAAACATTCCAGTTTACCAAACAAATATATAAACATAATTTGCAAACAATACCCACTAGACCTCAAAAGATCCTTAAACAGGCCGGGCGCGGTGGCTCACGCCTGTAATCCTAGCTCTTGGGAGGCCGAGGCAGGCGGATTGCTCAAGGTCAGGAGTTCAAAACCAGCCTGAGCAAGAGCGAGACCCCGTCTCTACTATAAATAGAAAGAAATTAATTGGCCAACTGATATATATAGAAAAAAAAAAATTAGCCGGGCATGGTGGCGCATGCCTGTAGTCCCAGCTACTCGGGAGGCTGAGGCAGAAGGATTGCTCGAGCCCAGGAGTTTGAGGTTGCTGTGAGCTAGGCTGACGCCATGGCACTCACTCTAGCCTGGACAACAAAGCGAGACTCTGTCTCAAAAAAAAAAAAAAAAGATCCTTAAACAAAACTTTCAGATATGTTTGGCAGAAGGCTTACGTAGCACAGTGTTCCTGTTGGCCCAGGAGGCTGACTTCTAACCTGTACTGTGAAATGTCTAAAGAGCATGCGAATATTTAAGAACCACCCAAATGAATCGTGGAAAATTGGAAAGCAAGCATGGTGAGCCATTCAGATGTCCAGACGGAGCAATGGGGGAAGATGGTCTAATCCTTACTATTCCCTAGAACAGAAATTCTGACAGAAAGAGATGAGCGCTTTATGGGGAAAATATGGGCCACTTGAGAAACTATCAAACATCTTAGGAGAAAATACGAATTGATTTCTATTCAAAACTAGGACATTAGGACACTTGAAAGACAGCAGGAAAATGTACTACAGGGTTCCCTAGATGAGGGTGACAAAGGACTCTGAAGAAGGGAGTGAAGGCAAACCCACTAGCCACCTTAGATACTTAAATTACTCATGAGGAAGTTTGGGAGCATAAGAAAATGCACCTACGGGTAGGGCTGGTGTGACTGAGCACACAGGTGAGGTTAGCCATGAATCTGGGGGCTGTGTGACAGTTCCTCCAAGCTCGGGTTGCTCAATTTTGAACCATCTCCTGCCCAGGGATAGACAGCCCAATAAACTGAAAATGGGAAAAGGTAGAGAAGAGCTGCCAAGAATAGAATTCTGTCACTGACTTGGAGACACCACGGGACAGCCCTGGCTGAAAGACTGACCTTTGCTCGGAGTTGTTTATTATAGCTCCCCGCTCCCCGCTCTCACTAAGCAGCTTCTCCCCACCCTCTGCTGCCAACATTACTGCCACGCCAGTGTCCGGGCAGGCAGAGCACTCAGGGAAGAGAGGGAGAGGACCAAGCAGGGCCGAAGAAACTGACAGGCTACCGTGGGGCTCCATCCTCGACCCAGAATGTGTCACCAAGCCAGAGCCAGGACGAGAAGTACCAGTCTGCTGGCTCCAGGCCGGGTGCTGACACTGAGCCCTCACTACCTGCTTCTGTTTTTATGACCACACCAGTGCCCCTGCCATCCCTCCCCAAATACTTATAAGGTGAAACCTTTCTTATTGCCCAGGAAAGGGCTTATGTATTGTTGGTACTTAATTAGCAAGTATATGATAAACTTTCTCACATCATATTTTTTTCTTTCTCCTTTTCTTTTCTTTTCTTTTTTTTTTTTTACTTGTTTCCTTTATTTTTTCTTAGAAGAAATAAGCAAGCAGATTCTTTCTCCTTTTCTAGCAGGCAATTTGGTTATAATTAGGATAAATCCAGGTCCCTGTTTATCCTTGTTGTCCCAGAGTAAATATAAATACCATCCCTTTCACTCTATGAAGTATCTGAGTTTGGAATATAATTTGTATGGTCATCTTTTTTTTCCCCCTTTTAGAGATAGACTCTTGTTTTGTCACCCAGGCTGGAGCACAGTGGCCTGATCACAGCTCGCTGTAACCTCAAACTCCTGGTCTCAAGTTATCCTCCCAAGCAGCTGGGACTGCAGGCCCGCCAACAGGCCCAGATGATTTTTTTTTTTTTTTGCAAAGACAAGATCTCACTATGTTACCCAGGATGATCTCAAACTCCTAGCCTCCTACTTCAGCCTCCCAAAGTACTAGGATTATAGGCATGCGCTACCATGCCCAGTCTGCTCACATATTTATAATGCATTTCCTGTTAAGCTGATCAAATAAGCATGTTCCTATTTCTGAATGCTGAGATGAAGACAGCATGAAATAAAAGAAAATCAGATGGCTTTGCAGACACTGCTGCTTCCCGGAGTCACCTGCTACCAACCATGGTCAACCCCACCGTGTTCTTCGATATTGCTGTCAATGGCGAGCCCTTGGGCCACATCTCCTTTGAGCTATTTGCAGACAAAGTTCCAAAGACAGCAGAAAACTTTCATGCTCTGAGCACTGGAGAGAGAGGATTTGGTTATAAGGGTTCCTGTTTTCACAGAATTATTCCAGGGTTTATGTGCCAGGGTGGTGACTTCACACGCCATAATGGCACTGGTGGTAAGTCTATCTACGGGGAGAAATTTGAGGATGAGAACTTGATCCTGAAGCATACAGGTCCTGGCATCTTGTCCATGGCAAATGCTGGGCCCAACACAAATGGTTCCCAGTTTTTCATCTGCACTGCCAAGACTGAGTGGTTGGATGGCAAGCATGCGGTCTTCGGCAAGGTGAAAGAGAGCATGAATATTGTGGAAGCCATGGAGTGCTTTGGGTCCAGGAATGGCAAGACCACCAAGAAGATCACCATTGCTGACTGTGGACAACTCTAATAAATTTGACTTAAATGTTTTATCTTAACCATCATACCATTCCTTCTGTAGCTCAGAACACCCCTCTACCCCATTTGCTCGCAATATCCTATAATCTTTGTGCTCTCGGTGCAGTTCTTTGGGTTCCCATATTTTCCTTATTCCCCTCCACATCTAGCTGGATTGCAGAGTTAAGTTTATGATTATGAAATAAAAACTAAATAACAACAACAACAAAAAATCAGATGATGTACATGTTAGAGAAAGGCAGTGGCAGAGCTCCTCCTCTATCCCTTGGTGTTGAAGTAATCTTCCCCACATCCCCCAATCCTGGGCTTCTTAGGAGTAAATATAAGTGCCCATGACTTGGACACAATCACCAAGATTCTAGGAGACTTAAAGAGTGTGGAGAAAGTTGGAAATTAGCTCTAAATGTTCAGTGGCAGAAGAGAGTAGAACAGAATTATATGCTGAGACAAATTCTGTCACAGGCATTCTCTATGCCTAAAAATATGACACAAAGAAATATTAATACATGTATTAATAAAAAGTTATGTTTGGCTCAGCAGAATAAGCATTGACAAATGCAATACAAAACAATTCTGAGTAAAATGGCATGTTTACTATTTCTGAAGTTTAACTGATATATTCAACTTTGTTGACTGAAATAGTTTATTAGGTTTACATTAAATTATATTGAAGCAGCCTCAGAGGAGTCCAGATTAGTTACTGTAATCAAAGTCAACACTGAGATGGTTTTGTTTGAGGATCATGTATTTTTCTTTCTTTCTTTCTTTCTTTTTTTTTTTTTGAGACAGAGACTTGCTTTGTTGCCCAGGGTAGAGTGAGTGCCATGGCATCATCAGCCTAGCTTATAGCAACCTCAAACTCTTGGGCTCAAGCAATCCTCCTGCCTCAGCCTCCCAAGTAGCTGGGACTACAGGCATGTGCCACCATGCCCAGCTAATTTTTTCTATATATATTAGTTGGCCAATTAATTTCTTTCTATTTATAGTAGAGATGGGGTCTTGCTCTTGCTCAGGCTGGTTTCGAACTCCTGACCTTGGGCAATCCGCCCGCCTTGGCTTCCCAGAGAGCTAGGATTACAGGCGTGAGCCACTACCCCTGGCGAGGATCATATATAGAAATGGGCTTTTAAAAGATCCATTAAAAGTCCATCATGCTAATTTAACAGGGAAAATTTAATAGATTGCTGTTGGATAGCTTCCAGTAAATTAACGTAGGAGAATTATAACCAAAGCCTCAGCTGCTATCATTAACAAACAAACAAAAACTGTAACGATATATTAGTTACAAACAGAAATCAGTGGTAACCTTAGTGAGTGAATTTAAACATTTATCTAAAACAAAATTTAGTAAAACATTTGGTTCTTATAATTCATTGATATTTGGACTCAGCATTAGCTAATGCATCTCACTCATTGTATGAGTGTACTAATTTGGAATATTGTAGGGGTAAACCATTCTCATTCCCTTACTTCTGAGAATATACATGGATATCAGATTTTCTCCTTATTCCTCTGGTGGCAGGCTCTTTTGCAAGGGTGGCTGGCCCAAAGGAAGTCCTTCTATTTCTATGAGTCCAGTTAGGGAAGCAATTTTGATTTTTTTTTCATTGTATCTTTCCTCTTAATATAACCTTTATCAGCAATAAACAATATATTTTGTTTCTCTGTATGCTGACCTTTTTACCTTGCTTTAATCTGTTCAGGATCCAGGCAGGGATGGACACACTCTTTGTTGAGTTTCCTCAAGAAACCTAACCTACAGCATTCTGTCATTGCATGTATTGAGTTGGCCATTCTGTCCTCATCTTTCCTAATGAAGAGTCTTTCTTTCTTTTTTTTCCCCCTCAAAGTCATTGATTCTGGTTCTCTAATAACTCAAAATTCATTATCAATAAATTCTATGCTGTTAGCAAGAAAAATTACAAGTGAACATAGATTAGCTCACATTTAACAAGATTTTTAAAAATAAGCCTTTTAGTCTGGGCGTGGTGGCTCACACCTGTAATCCTAGCACTCTGGGAGGCCGAGGCTGGTGGATCGCTCGAGGTCAGGAGTTCGAAACGAGCCTGAGCAAGACTGAGACCCGTCTCTACTATAAATAGAAAGAAATTAATTGGCCAACTAATATATAGAGAAAAAATTAGCCGGGTATGGTGGCACATGCCTGTAGTCCCAGCTACTCTGGAGGCTGAGGCAGGAGGATCGCTTGAGCCCAGGAGTTTGAGGTTGCTGTGAGCAAGGCTGATGCCACAGCACTCACTCTACCCTGGGCAACAAAGTGAGACTCTGTCTCAAAATAAATAAAATAAAATAAGCTTTTTAAGTAGATAATCTAAACTTTTTACTATGATTCCAATTCTATGATCTTTGCCAATAAAATATAGATAGAAGAGGTGAGATTTGATTTCACATTAGAGTATATTAGATGGGCCATTTATTTGTATTTATAAATGTCATGTCTTAGAATCATGTGTTCAATTATTTAGATCACCCACAAAGGCAAATTTCAAGGAGTTTAATTTAACCTAATTTCAAAATGGCATTTCCTCTGAGATATGGATTCTTAAGACTGTCATGTACAGCCCACAGCTATTTCCCTTTGCTTCTGTGGAAGTAGAAAATTAGAGTCCTTGATTTTGTGAAAACAGGAGAACCTCAATAATTTAACCTGGTTTGTATCATGAGATAAAATTGCTAAGCTTCATGCTTAGAATCTCCTATGCTATATTTTAAAGAAACTTCTGCAAGTGGGTTGAAAGTTGTCCTTTATGCAGCTGTGGTAATGGAATGAAAATTGCTTATCTTGGGAACAATGATTATATCATCCTTATATTATCTGTACTCAAATAGTTTACACTGCTGTAGGGGTAGGCAGGTGCATTGTTATGTTTCCTTCTTGCCACCATCATTTCCTATAAGCATACAGTGCAGAGTATACAGTGCAAGAAAAGCAAACGGCATCACATTTTTTGTTTTAAATTTTCATTACGTTTTTATTACCTATGTAACAATGTCACTGAAGAAAAAATAAAATACATATATAAAGACAAAAAATAGACTTTTACGTTTGTTTTCTTTATTTTCCAGGTTTAGGCAAAGGTTGGGAGAAGGAAAATTGTACAGGTCTAGAGTAGAAAAATCATAATGAAAACTTGCAAAAATAAGGGTCATCAAAAATCTTTTTTGAGGGAAAGAACACTAACACTGAACCATGTTCTGTTCACTTAACACACTATTTAACTTAATTCTCACAAAAATCCTATAAGGTAGGTATTTTATTTGTACATATTATCAGCAAGAAAAATGGAGGCTAGAAAGTGGCATCTCTAAAAATCAAAGCCAGGACAGGCCACCCTACCCTGAAACTCACCTCCCCATCTGACTGAACCTGAAGCCTGTGCTTTCCTATTATGCCACCCTGACTTTCCAGCTGCCTGAGGCCCCTTCAAACCTGTTAAATAGCCACAGCAACAAGTGACACTTCAGGATATTACAAAAGATTGGAATATCACAAAGTTAACAAACCAACCTCATGCTTCACTCTGTATACTTACAGTCCTATAAGATCAATCCTAAAACTAAAAGTATAAAACAAACAGGTGGTCTTTCACCTTGTGTTCCATTCTTGTTGCTTTCCGCCCTTTTTTCTCACCTCCTAATTTCATAGTGTAGAGCAATTACTTAACCTCTAACAACCAGGTGTCTGATAAGCTTAAGAATCACTAATATAATGGAAAGAACAAGGGCTTTGGAGCCAGACAGATCTAGGGATCAAAGACATCTCTCTGGGCTTGGGCTATATAACTTGAGTAATTTACCCTTTATTTGAGCTCTAGGTACCTCATCTATAGATTGCAATAATTTCTGGGAGTTTGGGTGGGAATTGCCATTTCAGTTAAGATAGCAGAGGTTAAGTGGTGATAGGTATTCCAGAATAATTCCCTTCAACTTAATTCTCGAGATATGCTTCCCCTCCTCCACACACCTCTACACAGAGGCAGGAAAATCAAGATAGGAAGGGGAAAGTCCAAAGAATACAGAAGTAGCAGGAATCATGACCTAACCACACCCAGAACACGCAGCTAGTATCAAATGTGAGCAATTTCAGGAGGTTAAATTAGGCTCTGACCCTGGATCATAAAGGACATAGTATTAACACCAATCTTACAACCACTAATACATAATGAAGTACACAGACGTCTAAATTGGATATGGAATTATTATTTCCTCAGCCTTGTTATTGTGTATCCCTTTAACACCATTTTAAACATTGTAACTTAAGAACCTGAGACTTTTATAGACCAAGATACAGATCTTGGATTTAAGCCATCCAAAAAAAAATAAATAAAAGGTTGGAACTGTCACTCTACATGTGCTTTGATTTATCTCCAGGGAGATTTTTATACACATAGCAAATATATTTCTGAATGCCTGAGTTCTTAAGTTTCTTAGCCACTACTTACAGAGGGACAGAAATGTTTCTAAAACGCAAACATTCTATCACTGACAAGCTTTTATGTCCCTTCTTGCCTTTCATTTAGCCATATAAGCCGCAGGACCTCCCTGGTATTAGTCCATGGCCAAGTTCAACTTCGTATCCCTCATTTTAATCAACAAAACCTCAGAATCCTCAGCACACCCCAAACAGCAGACTAGAGTTTCTAAGGTGAGTGAGGAAGGCCTGTTTCTTGGATCTCGACCCAGAGAAGCAGTAACAGCCATCCACCTTCAGCAAACACCTCTATCCCAAAGGTATCTGTTAATTAATTACTGCTCTCTGAAGGAGTAGTTTCAAGGAACACCTTTGTTTATCTCAGGTGATGGAGGTTCATCCTAAGGAGACACAAGGAAGCAGAGGAAGCAGAGGAAACCCTTTCAGGAATTAGGTAGACTTCTTAGAAATTATTAAAATTTGGTGCATCTCTTGTATTATCCTGGATAGAGCTGGAGCCCATTCTACTAAGTGAAGTATCACAAGAATGGAAAAACAAGCAACACATGTATTCACCGTAAAATTGGTATTAACTGATTTAACTGACCAACACTTAAGTGCACATATAGTAGTAACATTCACTGGGTGTCGGGCAGGTGGGGCGGGGGAGGAGTGGATGGGTATGTACACACGTAATGGGTGCGGTGCATTCCATCTGGGGGATGGACACGCTTGAAGCTCTGACTCGGGTGGGGTAAAGGCAATAC